AGGATGAATCTCTTTGTTTTCCTAGCAGTCCATGGTATTCTCAATACTCTTCTCCAGCACCACAGCTCAAAGGCATCAATTCTCCTATCTTTCTTGGTCGTTGTCCAACTCTCTGATGCATAACAAGTGATTGTGAAGACCATGGCCTTTATCAAACACACCTTACTAGAGATGACTTATTTAGGGAAAGCTTTTTTTCAGATTCAAAGTGTTTAATAACTATGATATGAAAAATTAACCTATAAGGTAAATAAAAATGTTGATTTTACTTTATTTTGATGAAAAAATACCGATGATTTGCTCTATTGGCATTTTCTTTATTTCTCATAGGCAATACTTTAAATAAATACTCAAAGAGATAATAATAAGAATTTAGTAGTATAGTACCATCAGGCATAGTTAATTTTTATTTTAAAATGAGAAAAATTAATAGCTGTTGCCTCTGAATTTTGTCTTCTAATTCTGCTTCATTGTAAATGTTCAGATCATCTTGACCATAAAGAAGACTATGACTGTCCCCAGTGTGAGTCAAGCTTTACCTGTGAGGAAATTCTTGCTGAGCATCTTCAGGCATTGCATCAGAAGCCCACAGAGGAGAAAGAATTTAAGTGCAAGAACTGTGGAAAGACATTCCCAGTGAAGCAAGCTTTGCAGAGACAGTACGTGCATTAATGAATATCTTTAAGATTATAATGTAGTACATAATGGCATTTTGTTCAGTTTACAGTTTCTAACTTATGTATATGTGTGCATGAGAGTGAAAGCAAGAGATTAAGGTTCTGCTTTATAATTGCCATTAACTGATCTTTCCTTAGTATGGTGCACTCAGTTTTATGAACTACTCTTAAGAAAAAATTAAACATTATTTATGCTAATTGATATTTGTGCATGTAATAACTTTTCCTTAAACAGCAAGTTCATTGGTTTCCTTATGTGAATTTTGGATTTGCATAATTTGGCTTGTGCATTAAAATGAAAATTGGTTTCAGTGGTCTGCATTGGATATTCCCTCTGGAATCAGAAAAAGAAAGTGTTTATGAAATAGATTAATTCACAGTGTACAGAACAAATGAAAATTTTGAGAATCATTATTTTCTAGCAATTTGGAGGATAATTTGAAAATGGATAAATACAAGGAAATTACAGCTGAATAAATAACTTAGTTTTCTCATACATTACTGTGCACATTTCATTATTTTTGTTACCCTGTCTGCTGAGGTGACTTTGACTCGTAGTATAAAACTGCTCATGGAATTTCAAAGCTTGTAATCCTCATAAAAGCAGACTGCCTTATCTTTTGATTGTGGAGTAGCTGGTGATTAGTGACCTCTGTTAGCAATTAAATGCTTAAGCACTATGCTACCAGAGCTCTTTAATAGTTTGTAAAATTATCCCTTTACTTAAGTATCTTAGGATCATTATTAGAAGTAAAAAATTAGGTAAAATTGTTTCTAAATTATATTTTTAACAGAATGTTAGTATAATCACCTTGCATAAGTGACTTTTAACATAGGGTAAAAATTAATGTTATTTTTATTGCCTAATTAAAGCAAAACTCTTAAATATGCTACATTTTATATTAAGATTTACTCATTGCCATTGGAGGAAGACTCATCACCAGCCTGCATTATGCAGATGACACAATCTTGCTTGTTGAAAGTGAAGACGACTTGAAATAATTGCAAAGGATCAAAGACTACAGCCTTTAATATAAATTGCATCTCACCACCAAGAAGACAAAAATCCTATGAAAAGAGGGAATAAATAATGACTACTGCATTAGAAGAGATGAAGGAAAGAATTGTTTAAAAGGAATATATGATTAGGTATTATTTGTATGAGAGTACAAATATCTGTATTTCTGAATAAGAGGTGCATGGCAAAGTGTACTGGGGGAGTGATGGGTAGAGGGAGGAAACTATACAATCATGAATAATTTTCTTTAAGTGAAATGGGAAGAGTAGGGAGGAAAATGTTCAACAATGAATGAATGAATGAAAATCCAACTTTTCTGTAAACTTCCATTAAAATTACAGTTAAAAAGAAAAAAAAAGAAGACAAAAATCCTCCCCAAAGAACCAAGAGGCAACTTCATGACAGATGGAGAAAAAGTTGAAATTGTCAATGAGTTCATCTTACTTGGATCCACAATCAACATTTTGTTACCAGCAGTCAGGAAATCAGAAGACAGTTTTCACTTGGCAAATTTGCTATTAGAGATTTCTCCAAATTATTGAGGAGCAGTGATCTCATTGAAGGTGCACCTGATTCAAGCTTTGGTCTTTTCAATCACTTGCTCTTTATCTAAGATCTGAACAATGAATGAGCATGACCCAAAAATTCATACCTTTGAGTTGTGGTATTGGAGAAGATCACTGAATATATCCCATGGACTGCCAGAAATATGGAAATGTCTTTAAGAAAATACAGCCAGAGTGCTCTTCAGAGCAAGGATAGTGAAACATTGTTTTATATATTTTGAGTATGTTTGGCAAAGGCTATTCCATGGAAAGGGATATGCTTAGAAAGGTAGAGCATCAGTGAAAAAGAGGAAGATCTTCAATGACATTTATTGGCACAGTGACTGCAGCAAAGGGTTTAAATGTTTTGGAGATGATGAGGATGGCAAAGGGTAGGCCAGAGTTCAGTTCTGTTGTTCATTGGGTGGCAGTGAGTCATACTTTATTTGATGGTAACTAACAACAACAACATTGCCATGAGGGAACTCTGGTGGCCTAGTGATACAACACTGTGCTGCTGCAATCCCAAAGGCACACGGTTAAGATCTACCAGCCGCTCTACAGGAGAAGGATGGACAGTCTCCTTCCATGTAATTCACTGTGTCTGAAAACCCACTTCAGAATGAACTATGAATCAGTTCCAACTTGATGGTAACCCACAACAACAACATTGCCATTAGTCAGAACCAACTCTTACCTAACTTTCCAGTGGCTTTCAGAGGCTGTAAACTGCAAGAGCAGAGACTGCCCATCTTTCTTCTGCAGGCCCTGTGACGGATCCAGACAGTTAGAGAAGCACTGCCTTTGGCTTCGTAACACAGCTCTCTATGGACTATACCACCAGAATTTCTTCATATTAAGACTGTTTCTGTATATTTTGTTCATTGGATTTTGCTGATAAGATTTTAGATGCAAACTTTTTGCTCAATATTTTAAAAATGCTTTTAAAAAATGAAAGCTTTTATATAACATATTTGGAGATTCCATTGCAGGTGATTATGAAAAAAACCAAAAAACAAAGAGTTTATACTTGAATTCTTGTTTCTTTTTATTTCATTTAGTATGATATATTCGACACAAAAAGTATTGTACCTTAACTAGATGCTGTAATTTAATAAGTTACTATTAAAATATTTAAAAAGACAAAGGCATACAGAAAAGAAGGGTGGCAAGCATGATTTAATTTAAATTGATATAATGATACATTGGTATGTTTTTGCATGAGACTTCCAGTTTTGGTTTTGTTTTTTTTTTTTTCCTTTTCTTTTTGTATTTCCCTTCAGTGTTCTTCAGTGCACAATGAAAAGAGGTCTGAAGGATTCTTCACGAAGTTTTCAGTGCTCTGTTTGCAATTCCTCCTTCAGTTCAGCATCGAGGTTTTGTGTCTGAGTGTTAGATTGATATTTTATAGTTTGAGATCATTTTTTATGCATGCATGTTTTCATGCTTCTTAGTGATTCCATATTTTCTTTTCTTTCTTTTTTTTTTTTTTTTTGGCTGCAGCATTTAAATGCTTTCTTCTCTCTACCTGCATAGGTAATGCATGACATGACCCTGAACTCTTATTAGGGAGCATGCATTACAAAACCTACGGTGATGGTGAAAATCTGTAGCTATGTCTTCACTTTTTCTCTTTTCCTTCTCCCTGACTGTCTTATAGCTTTGAGCAGCACCGAGAGACCTGTCGTGGGGATGCTCGATTTGTCTGCAAGGTTGACAGCTGTGGAAAGAGACTGAAGAGTAAGGATGCCCTAAAGAGACATCAGGAGAATGTCCACACTGGTGAGGAATCATTGGAAGACTGCTTTTAAAGGAGTTTCTTTTCCCCAGAGTGCAGCAATCTGTTTTTAGTTCTCACTCTTAAGGAGTTTGCTTTTCTATCATATTTCACACAGATGTGGTATTTTGGCAGTGGATTTTGTTTCTTTCATTGTACACTTTCTTTTTCAAATTGATTTCAGCACCGTTTGTCACTTTCCCCACCTCTAACTTAATCCTAAAGTGCCCTGGTGGTATAGTATGTTATTTGTTGAGCAGCTAACAAAGAAAGGTTGCCAATTCATGTCTATTGTCTGTTCTTTGGGAGAAAGATAGACAGTCTACTTTTGTAAAAGTATACATCCTCAAAGGAGAGGTGCCATGAATTATAACTGACTTAATGGCAGTGAGTATGGTTTGACTTTTTTTTTTTTTTGGTTAACTTCATCCTAACTAAGGGAGCTCTGGTACAGCGAGCCAGGGTATGTGGTTCGAACGCACCAACTGCTCTGCAGGAGAAAGATTGGCAATCTTCTCCACTGTGTTTACAGCCTCTGCGAACCTGCAGGGTCAGCTATGACTCATTCCAACTAGATGGCAGATAAAAAAATAATAGCTACAATCCTTACTAAACATGAGCTGGAGACTGGTTGTACGTGGCTGTCAAATACACAAGTAATTATTTAGAGAAATATTTCATATTTCAGCTTATGAAATTTCTGTTACATAAATTGTTAGAGAATTGCCTATTCTAGGTACATTTTAAACTGGTCATGCCATTCTGTTCAATATTTTTATTTTAAAGTTATTTTTAGTACTTTAATTTCTCTTATTTTGCAGAAAATTACTGGTCATATTTTTGTTGTAGTTTAATTATGTTTTAATTAAAAATGTAAGTGCCATTCAGTTTCCTTCTAATGACTAACTAAGCAATAGACAAAAATGAAAGTTTGCTGTTAATTATATTGTATTTGCTGATCTCAAAACCAAGCATTGAGCTAGACATTGAGGTCAAAACTCAAGCATTGAATCTATACCTGTAGAGTTGAGTCTGACTCACGATGACCCACCACTGGATTCCCAGTGCTGTAAATCTTGGAGCTTCTGTCAGCCTTTGGCTTAACAGTGAAAAAGGTAGCCTACTTTACCACCAAGGCTCTTTAGTGCATGATAGGCACACAGAAAAAGTATTTTAATTTATATCATTATCGTTGTGTACCACAGAGTCAGAACCATGTCTTAGCTGAGCTTTCAGTGGGTTTTCAACGTCAGTTAATCACACTGGAGGTGATTACCCATCCTCCCTTGGAGCCGCTAGTGGCCTCAAACCATGTGCCTTTGGTATTGCAGTGTAACTTCTTGCCACTAGGCCACCAGAGATCCGTTCATTAGAGATTGAATATATTGCTTTGAGTTGAATAGATGAGTTGCTGCTTTGTGTTGTATTTTCTGAGTTAACTTTTTTATGTCTTCATTGTCTTTTCACTGAAGGGGACCAAGGTTTATGAAACTCTTCCTACTCTTCTGTGCATTTCCCTTTCTCTTGTATGTACTTCTGCCCTCCTTTGCTTCTGAGACAGTCAGGAAACACTGAGGAAATGTTGTTAGTTGCTGCTGAGTTCATGCCAACTCAAGGTGACCTTTATGTGTCTAGAGTAGGATTGCCCCATAAGATTTTCAAGGCTGTGACCCTTCAGAAGAATTAATTGTCTTCCAACTTGCTTCTGGGTGAGTTCAGCTACCTGCCTTTCAGCTAGTAGTCAGGTGCTTAACACTTCGCGCTACCCAAGGACTTGAGTGGAAATGCATCTGTCTAGATAAAGACAAGTTAATTTATTTTGTCCTTTCTAGTCATCCTTACATTCAGTAGAAATGAATCTATATCTATCCAACCTCTGTATCCTTATTGTTGATGTTCTAAAACGTATGTGCTTTACACTTAAAGTGGCAGGGGTTATTATGTGGGTAGGATTCTGACTCCAAATTTGTATCATATTTGGTTTGCACATTAAATTCTAGGTATACACATGAGCCCTCTAGGACTTACTACCTTGCCATACAAAGCTGCAAAGTGGTTCCCATCCAGGACTAAACAATAGTCTGGTTTCTTCTGTTTCCTTTTAAAGACTTAGAGGGAGAGGATATTTTTATGACTCCATCCTATTTGAGTCTTCCTTTCTACGTGAAAAGCTATCATTATTTTCTTAACATTGTTCCCTTCATATGTATGTTGTTGTTGTATATGTACATATATGTATCTAAAGCAGTTGTGGTCAAAAGTCTGTTCTTAATATTCTCTGCCTTTGTCTGTAATGCTCTGTAACACATCTTTTATATTTGTTTTAAACTTTGCTCAACTAATTTAAAAACCATATGTATATGGTAATTCTGGAAACTTTGTGTGTTATTGTTATTGGCCATGTGGTCTTCAGGCTGTGCTAAAGTATAATTTTTTGAGGCTTCTCTTGTCATTGGCTTTTGATTTAATATTACTAGTTTTAGAAATTCATAATTACTTTATAAGAAATAGTTTATAAAAGGACAGTTTTATTTCCATTGTGTTGTTGTGGATCATATAAATTGTGAAATTTGACCATAGGTTAGCCACAGCGTACTCTGTATGCCTTTTGCTATACCTTGTACACAATTGTTCTCTTTCCTTCATTGTGCTGTCTCATATCTACCTCCTCTTTTGTTGCCCTTTGGCTTCTTTCTTTCCTTTACTTTTGTTTTTTCCTCTCTCTTTCCCCTTATTTTCACATGATTCATTGTTACTTTTCATGTAGTGTTTGAGGTTAAATATGAAGAATAAGTTATATTGTAAGTTATTTGCTTTTTCTTCCTAACAAGTTGTCATTCTGTCATAAAAATATACTACTTCTAAAACGAAATAGTATCTTTACCCACATTTTAAAGTCATTCTTTAATTCAAAACCATTTTTTTTAAATTGCATTATTTGAAGAGCTGGGACTACAAAAAGAACAACATATATAGAGTCCATTCCCTCTAGTAGCTTCCATTTTAATGATCATACAGAGCAGAAATCAACAATAGATGTATGTGATGACGTTATGCAAGGGGAGGATAAGAAATGATAAGGCTTTGAACAGAAATAAAGCAGTGTAAAGGAACTTTCTTAGCTTTTGTGTGTTCTGGAGCACTACAACATCTATTGCATCTGTGAAGTCTTTTGCTAACAATATTTTACAATTTATTAAATAAAGCATATGTCTACAAAGGAACCAATGTAAAACACAAAGATCTTCTAAAAGAAGAATTGCATGGTGGCTGCAACATTGTTCCAAATAACAATTATGAGGAGGATTCAGATTTGAGGAGAGTTTTCATTCTCCACTAACAGGGTCATCTTGAGTTGGAGTTACTTAATGACATTTAACAGCATAGGTTTCAGTAATAGATAAATTGTAATATAGTAAAATACCTACTTTTAAAATTCATGCATTATTTACTACAATCTGGCAATACATCTGCAGGGTACTATAATTTTATAGTAGTGATGAGTCAAGTCCAATTTTATAACATCTGTGATTATAATTGGATATGAAATCTATCTATATTCTGTGTTCAGTTACCCAGACTTATAATTAAAAGAAATGTTAAATTAAAGGTTACTGAAGTTCATACAATTCCTTAGATGAAGAACAAGAAAAGGGTGTTTTTTAAGGGGTATAATCATGTACATGGTGGACAGTTGTTTGGTGTAACTTCTCGATTAAAACAAGCTTGGAAGCAGGAGTGGCATCCACTACCGAAATGACTTGCCTCTGGAAATTCTATGAACATGGAGAAACAACCAAAGTTATACAAGTGTTCAGGTCTTTCATTCATAGGGTTGCTATGAGTCATCTTCAACTCGACAGCACTTAACAACGATAGCAATGATCAGAAAAGACCTCTCCAATGAGGCAGTAGAGCAGAATCCTTACCAAAATTAAGGCTGTTGTATACAGACCTCTGAGAAAACGATATTGAATGTTGGGACTATCAATAGCATAAATGCTTAAGGAAATCAGTGTTTTCACTTTTGCCTATAGATACCTTTACCAGAGAAAGGCATGAGTATTCAAACAATAAGACTAATATTTTTTTTAATTTTTAAATTTTTTTTGCGGCTTCTACAATCAGCTGCTCCATGGCAAAAGGATGAGCGGTTTCCTCCTGTGTGATTTACTTTAGATTTTCTGACTTCAGCTCATTGCATATTTCATTATAATTCCTTTCTTTGTCATCCAAGCTGCCCTTTGAAATTTTCTGTACAGTTCCATAATTTCTTGATTTCTTCCTATTGTTTGACTTCTCAGCGCTCTAATGCAATATTCAGAGTATTCAGAGTCTCATTTGACATCCTTTTTGGACTTTTATTCCTCTTCTGCCTTTGTACTGATCTTTTGCATTCTTCATGGACTGATTATATATTTTTTTTTTAGATTTTAATGAAAGTTTATAAATAATTTGGATTTCTAGCCGTTCATTGTTGCATATTTTCCTCTCTGTCCTCCCTTCCCCCCAGTTCACTTTTTTCTTTGGAAAATAAGTTCTTTCATTGTTATACAATCCCCCTTCCCTCCTCAGGCCACTTTAGCATACAGTTCTTATTCTGGACTCTTGTCATTCCAATAATACCTAATCATATGTTCCTTTTACACAGCTCTTTCCTTCGTCTGTTTCAATGTACATTATTTATCCCCTCATTTCTTCGTTTCCTCAACCCCCTTATCAGTCCTGTACTACAACAGTGGCATTATGTAGAATTTGTCTTTTTGTGACTGAGATATTTCACTCAGCATAATTTCCTCCATGGTCATCCATTTTGTATAATATTTCATGAATTATATTTCAGTGCTGACTGTGGAACAGACCTCCAACTACTCATATGCAAATTCAAGCTAAAGCTGAGGAAAATTAACCAAATCCGAGGCAACCAAAATATGACCTTGAGTCTATCCC